AGCAACTCCCTATAAAATGACTGTGCCTAGAGATTTTTTCCTTCTTAGCAAGCGTTATTGCTCCAAAACAAGTAGTATATCATTTATATAACAATTTCCTTATGGGTCATTGTTGAATAGAACTTGGGTCCTTCCATACCCAGAGCGAATACCCCCACCACTGCAACTACAAAAATATTTCCTTTATGCACAGTCAGGACAGAGTTCTCTACACCAAGAAGCTTAGGAAGCACAGTTACACATAGAAAAATGTAATTCTTTGATATTCTGGACTTACTCCTTTGTGAAGTATTTCCCACAAACAAAACCTTATGAACTTGTATAGATTTTAAGTCATAAGAAAACAACAAAAACCCAAATCAAAACAAAACAGCAAGCAAAACTAAGAAAATGTCTTCATTAGAGACAGCTCATAGTACAAATCGGGTTCATGACATGCTGCTGTGTTTTTGTTGCTTATGGCTACTCTTGAAGACAAGTGGCTCCTTTGAAATGTGAACATAGAGAATAGATCAAGTAAGAAGTTTCTGCAAAGAATGTGTCACATTTTGGGAAGTTAATGTGCTCTTCACTCAGGTGAGTAAGCAGGGCCTAACCCTGCTTAATGGTTAACTTTGCTGTACTGAAATCAGTGGGACTATGCCCCTCTGTGGTCCCCTATATCACCTTCAAGAGCTGTGTGATACAGCACTTTAAGTATTTGCTTTGTTTGATGAAAATCTTGATGGGAGCTGTAGTTCCTGCTGGTGTGAAATACTATTTCTATGAGGAAAGCCACACTGTCTAGAAAAGAAGGACGAAATATGAGTTCTTTTTAAAAACTAGTAAATTCATTTTTTTCCTGAAGTGTTACAACCCCATATGGCAGTAAGATTATCATCATAGGTATATTGCAAATGAAAATCTGTTTAAGCTGCTTAGACTTACAGGGGAAAAAAGAGTATCAATGGCATGGTTTAAGATGGTGCCTTTTAAGAGCTGATCAGTTCAGCTCAGTTCAACCAACAGTACAAAAATTTTAAAAAAGAAGAGGTTAGTTACTAATGTCAATTTGCTGTTTTCATCACCAATATGAAAAACATGTCTTTCAATATACAAACAGGGTTTGCCAGGTACATGTGCCTTGTGTAAGCGCATTCAAAGAAAGCTTTTTTGTATTCTTATGGGAGCAGGGTGAGTCTGAATCCCAGTCCCAGGAGCTATATATGCTTAAAGGTACTGTTCAAAGAAATCAGTGCAATGGAATGTGCAGGTTTGGAGGACAGGACTTGGCAGCCATTGTGTCCCCATTAAGCAGTGCTCAAATTCAGACCAGTGAAGCTGTTTTACCAGTTAGCTGACTTGGATAGCACTTTTTAAGCACCATACAAGGAATATTTATAAATATTCCTCCTGAAAGAGGCCTCCTAACCATGCGAACAACCTCCTCTCAACAGCCTGTTTCTCTTCTCCCTGAAACCCTGCCATTCAGTCTCTGAGCACCCTCACTTCTCAGCTGGCATCCTCAGTCCCCCGTTATTGCAGAACTTGCCAGACAGAATCAGTGCTCCTTGTCTGAGTCCCAGCCCTGGCAGATTCTCAGTCCAAAGAATCTATCATCTTGTTTATACAGCTCATGTAGGCTGACATCAGTCTCCTCCAAGGCAAGAAATATTCTTGCTTTGAGAGATGTGCATCAATTCTAACTATCACTTTGTCTCTTTAATGTCACAGAAGTTCAAATAGGATGCGGATTTCATGCAATCAAGACTGTCTAGAACATTTTCATAACAGAGATTTGAATCAAAACATCTCTCTGCTCGGTGAAAAATTGAAGAGACCAGTGCACTCTTGCTTTCCAGTCACAAGTGACCACAGGGCCCTGAGACTAAAAAAAAGTTTCTCGAAAAAAGCTTGAATAAATCTGACACATCAGCAAACTGTAGTCCTTTGCATATTATAATGATTCCCAGGAGTCCCAAAGTGCTTGTTGTACATTACTGAATTATGCCTTATGACAGCAGACTGTACCAAAATAAACATTACCTATTTACTCATCTGATAGTAATGTACTGGAGTTCTGAACTGGATCCATATTTCAGAGGTCTCCGAGTTCAAGAGTTTTTATCACAAGGTCTATATTTCAAGTTGATCTCATTTTTTTTATAAGGTTATGCTATTTTCATCATTAATATCCTCTCTTCCTGAAAAGTGTACATCATCATAGTCTAACCGAGCATTTCTGTTGTACATTTTCATTAGCTGGCTGCATTTTCTACTTACTAGTAAATGGATTTCTGAGTTATTTCATATTTTTTAATGATGAAATATCAGATTTTCTCACCTCTTTTCGATGGCAGCTGTGAACATCTTGATTGTTTTAGTTTTCACCTGTTCTTGAAACACAGGCAAAATAGCCTCTGTTTTAGTGGTTTTATCTTGAATAAAAGTCCTTGTAATTTCTGAAGATTTGAGGGAGTTGGGAAATGTATTTGTGTTAGACACAGCAAGGGTATTCGTCATTAAAGAAATCTCTAGCACAGCAGTATTGTAACTGATTAAACAGCATTGTTTGTCACAGTAAGAATTGGTGTAAGTGAACTATAGGTGTAGGTATCCTTCAGGTAAAAACCCACCATTCCTACTTCAACACGCTTCTGCCAAATGCAGTATAGAGCTTGGAAAAAATTGTGTATATGCTCACCTCTACTTATTGGCAATAAAACAGATATACAGGATCAGAATGTAGGATTATGACCTAATCAAAATGGTCATCATGAAAATATAAATGAGGTATGCTTGGTGTAGCCATGTGTTTGCAGCATTGCTTTCAGCAATGGCTTGATCTTATGGTTTTGAGGGGTTCTGTCTGGAATAATCTAGGTCAACTACATTTTGTAGGAAAAAAGAGGGGTTTCAGTGCTATTATCAGTGCTATTCTAGCTGAAATTTTGTCTTGTATAATATTTGAGCAATGTGTTTGAGCTAAAGATATGGTCATTCCATTTTTGTTACTGGCTGGTTGGTGTTTGATTCCACCTTCACTGAAGTGAGGTTGAGATGGAGAAGCCTGGACTCTTTCTGTCATGAGTTCAGCTTGAGGCTTGAGTCACCAAAATGCTAGCTAGATATTTGTGATGCATATGTAGTATTGCTGAAGTGAAAACAGCTCATCAGTTAAACAGTTCAAAGCAGATATTTTGCTACTGGGTATTATTAATCACAACTGACATATCTTGTGGAGTTGTGCATTTTTCTATTTAAGAAGGTCTCTATCAAAATGCATTTCATCCAGTTACCTAGCATGCTTCATTTAGCTCCTTTGGGTGTCTAGTCATATACTTTACTTGTAAATGTCTCAGTAGTTGAACAGATTAGGCCTGTGTTTGGGGATCCCTGACCAGTCAGCTTACAGATTTGGAATTAATGTTTTGATACAATATTCACATGTGGTACTTGTGCATCTCAGTAACTCCCTGTACACCAAGCTGGTCATGTCTTTTCATATTTGAGCTTTTGTTTTAGAAGCACAATAGATAATAACCATAAATGTTTCAGTTACTATAAGTAGTTAATAATTGTGAATGATTGAAGACCAGATTTTTAAACAAACTGATAGAGTTGCATGAAATGAAGATTACCTTTGTATAATTTCCTAGGCTGCATTTTAAATACTATATTATATGGGCTACATATTATAAATATTATATGGGCTTTGTTGTGCTATTAATATGCATGCCTGATTGGTATTTTCATTAAAAATATTTGCACATGGGTAACAAACAGAAAAACACACTTTTTATAGTCATATTGGCAAGAAAATTAATCTGGATGGACTTCCTTGTGGGTACAGGAATTTCTGTATCCACCAATTTTCATTCCATTGTAAGGCATGCCTTCTTTATGGATTACTTTAAAGATGTTTTTTCAACAGAGTGTGTTTTTTATAACACAGCACTAATAGCTGGCTGTGTTTCAGTGACTACTTTCACCTATTTTGCTTTCAATTTTTTCTAATTGCCTTTGTTCTCCCTGGGGCTTTGAAGCCAAAAAAACACCCCATATAATGCTTATCTAATTATCAGGGCTCTTGCCTTTCTAAAGGATTTCATTAACGATGCTGCTTTCTGGTTCATGCAACCAGCTGAGGGTCTGCATACCTCTCCTGCAGACATTTTTGGGTCTCCTGGAGTAGTGAAGAATCACTTTGCCAATAGGTGCCACTGTTGCTCTACACACACGTCTGAATCATCAGTGTCCTTCAGTTGAAAATCCAACCTTGAAAAGGCAAACCTAAATCACACTGACTAAAATGCTGCAGGGGTAAAACTCTGTACAGACCATGCATGGCCTGAGGCTTGTTCATGCCTAGACTAAGGCACATGCTTTATCTCATTCCTAAAAATGATTATATTATTGCTAATGAGATAAGTATGCATTGAATTAATTCCAGATATATTTAATCTAAACCTTTGAATTTATTGCTGAGCCTCTGACCAATAGCAGCTGAGCCTTGCAAGTATCTCCTCTGGCCCAAATGTGATTTAAATGCAGAAGTTGCACATCAGTGCAATAAGAATTTGGACTTCTGTCAGCACTTTTTACATAAGTCATTCACATACCTTTTCAGCTGAGTAACATATCAGGGTGGCCTATCCAGAGGTATAAGGGCCACCTACAGCTATTTAGTCTACATTTACTGTTTGGTAACTTCAGGTCAGCAAATGCAGTTCACTTTGCAGCTTATCTACCATTAGGTGCCATTCAGCACGTAAAGCCAAGGGCAGTCAAGGTCTACTTGCTTACTGCATGGGGAAAAACCTTGGTTCACCTTGTCCTTAGGTATGCAGCCATTGCATATGTTTACTTGATTCTTGGATGTTTCAGACACATTACAGAATAACACAATTTTCTTTTCTACTTTTTCTTTTCAGAAATGTCTAGCAAGCTGTGTAAAAATGAAAAAACAACTAAGGACAATTAAGAGGTTAATACTCTTTCAGGTTCAACACCACTCTGTTTTCTTTTTTTCTTTTACTGCAACTATTCCTTGACTAGAAACCAACAGATAAAAACTGTGTTTTCAGTGATTTAATATCTTCTGAAATATTCCCAGCCATCTGCAGGTCCAAATGTAACCCAGCAACTTGGTCTAACAGAGAGCCCTCTGCCTATATAACCTAATTCTCATTCCTTCTGCATTGAACAGATCACTCCTACGTACATGAGCAACAAGCTATATTAAGTAGTACTTAGGATCACCCTAAGCAGTTTACAGACAGGCATCCCTTGCTTTTCTGTCTCTCACCAGTTGGCGGATGACTTGCAGATATTTCTGACCTCCTTCATAGTCCAGGATTCTACTGACGTTTTGGGGAAAATATTCCTGGTTGGAAGGGAGGACATGAGTTTTAGCTGGTTGTCTCAGTTGACGAGTAGCAAAAGCAGAAATTGGTGGGCTTTCATAGGAAATGGTGTAGACACTGTTCATCACTCCAGCTTCTTTCTGGTGCCATTTTTTCATCAGGTACTCAAGGAGGCCATAGTTGGTGGGAGGTTCTGAGACATGAAATTATTAAACATTAGAAGTTATAGAATTACATTTTTGGTCCTGGTGTTTTTAATCCACAGTTGTCATAGAGAATATTGGTACTATTTTGACAGCAGACTAAGGGCAAAATGGATCTTTTTGTTCCCAGGGTATGTGTGTCTACTCGCTGGCTGGAAGGGAAAATCACTACTAGATATCGATAGGACAGTAGTAATGGTATAAAGGTAAGGAGTCCTAATTCTTCGTAGCTTCTCTGGTAGATATTTTAGAAGTTAGCAGAGCTGTACATGTCACTTAAATTCAGAAACATAATAATACTCTGTAAATTCTCCTGCTAGCTGTATCTCTCAGGTCTCCTTGTTTTCAGCTGGTGTCTTGTGTTATTGCATAGAGGAGAGAAATCTCTTCATTGACACTGTCCTTCACTGCCTCCTGTCATGATTAAGTACTCTGATATGGATAACATTTCCACTTTATCAATCCAAAAAATAAGCTACTGGCTGGGTAAGAAAGTATCCAACAGTCACCACAAGACCTATTCTCAGAATTAAAACAGAAGGAGGTTCCTGGCTCTAAGTCTATATATTGACCACAGCACCATGTCCCATCTGATTGAATTAATAATGCCAAAAACTACCAAGAACGGGGCAATCCGATTTCTGAGGAATCCAGGCAAACTTGCATTCGTTCCCGCTGTGGAGGGGAAGGAGCACAGGGCTGTAACCGTGTCTGTTGTATTTGTCGTCATACTCTGATACTAAATTTCGGCTTCTTGGTTCATCATGATGGGTGAAGAAGTGCTGCATTGGCAGGCCCTGAAATGAGATGTACATGAAACCATACTATTTGTCTTTGTACATAGCATTCAGGTGGCTTAGCATGCTTCTGAGTCAGATTGTACTATCAGTGATATCACAAAATTTTGTCAGTACTTGTACTACTTTTACTTATAGTTTAGTCCCTGAAAATAAGGACATTTGCATTTCAAGTAAAGTAAACGTCCTGTTAGACTAAGCAACTACATCTGTATGTCATGAGATCTGATTAGTCTGATTTCAAGATATGCATTACAAATTTGCAGATACATTTAAGAATCCTGCAAATGAAAAGCTGATTATCTTGTGCTTCTTAAGTGTTTCATTGTGCACTAGTGCTACATGTACTACCTTCCAACTGTCTGTCAGAAGAGACTGATATTTGAGGATGGAGAGGCACCTTGGAGGATAGGACATTCTAGCAGATCCTTGTGGGAAAAGTATTGTAGTGAAAGATCTGGGACTCCTTTAAGTGCTGTTTGTTCCTATGAATCAGAGGTGTGCTGATGAAAGGAATCCTCTTTTACCAGCAAGCTCATAGCCTGTGGAATGCCCTGAAGACACAATACCCAGCCCTAGCTGGTAGTAACGTGGTGATTTTCTTCATGTGCCCTCGTCACCCTCCAAGGCAGAGACTGGGAAAGAAACAGAGGGCACCAAGCATGTGCTGTTTGTCTAGCTCTGAAAGGCATCCTGCTTGAATCAAACGTACGAGGGAGCTCTGGATCCTGTAAACCGGCCGCGGAGCTGCAGTGCCTTCTTTTACACATATAGTTGTTTAAGGATGTAAACTACGCTTAAGTGTTAGTCAAAGGTCATTGCTGTTTGGAATGTTGGCACACACAGCCCTACATTTGAAATTTCTTTTACTTACCTCCAGTTTTTCCATCATGATTCTCCTTAGTGTGTGTTCTGGTTTGTGATCTGGGAAGCAAATGAAGTCTGTTTTGTAGATGCTGCTGCCAAGTTTCCCGGTCTCTTTTGTAAACTAGAGAGATACACAACACTTGGTATAGCTAAGGCAATCTGATAACTACTAAAGCTCTGTTCCAGTGCTGCTTTCTTCATCTATGCATTTTAAAAGCACTTATTTGGAAAGAAGGCTATGGCATGTACTTTTTCTCAGATGGTAAAGTCAGCTGGTAGAATCAGCCATTGTAAAAATCTGGATTGATTCCTTGTTGTAAATACAAGATATTGTACAGGCCTTGAAAAATTATCCATGGTTTGCTGTTAAAATACTTTCACCTACCACATGAACTACCATCTGAAAAGGACAAATGAACCCTTTTTTTTTTTTTTTTTTTCCTGTTGTTCCCTTTTTCCTACTTCTGCTGCAGCAGGCCAGTCTCTGCAATATAGTCTAGCATTTTGCTCCAGAAAAAAAAAAAATCTGAAGGAAATCATTTTCACAGAGTCAGGAGGATTTTCCCCAACAGGTCCAATACTGAACCTACCTGGCATGTTTTGACAAAATGTCAAATGATAGAATTTTGCTCAGCTCTTAAGCAGGGCGTACAATCTATCAAGCAGCTCTGCTGGCAAAGATGGTCTTCTTTATATAAGCAAATGAAACCAATATCCAAATTATTATTAAAGATCCTCTGATACAAGTAATAATAAGTATTAACTTATGGAAGGACTAATGAAGCCTCTCTTGTATAATAGTGGTACCTATTAAGTTGTATATATTGTTGTTGTATAGTTGTATGTAAGTTGTACAGCAGTCTGAAGCGATTGCCATAAAAAGTGCCACAGCATTTTTAATTGGCTAATATAATGTCCAGTGTGAACCAGACAATATAACCCACGCTCAGCCATTGCTTCAGTCCTGGCTTAAGAGGGAAGAATGGCAGATCATAAACAAAATTAATTAAAGTAGGCCAAGCAAGATGCTTATCCTTCTGCCTTTTATTACTCTTCTGAGATGAGCCTGGACTCTAGCATACGACTGCAGTAGTATACTACCTACACAGCATTGGTTCTGACCCACTATTCCTGCTCTCACACTTCTTTCCCACTCTTACCCTTTTCCTCTCTTCCAGCCAGTTTCCAATGAGAACTTTATTAGAGTATTTGGGTTCGATTTTCCAGCAGTCATGTTCATCTCTTTGCGATGCAGTCATATTTCTTTGTCTCACAGCACTACCCTCCCTGGTTGTAGGAACTGTCCTTAAAGTTATGTTGGTGAAAGATTACTTAGTACTCCAGTGCTAAAACTAGGGCAGAAAGGGGCTCTACTTCTGCCTGTGTGCTGAGAAACGTGGGTGCTGTGTGGAACTGCTTGGCTGTAGAACCATTTCTGTTTGCTATCCCCACAGTGACTGTCGTTCCAGTAACCACATTCCAGGCTGCATCATACTTACCTTTGACCAAAACAGTGGCTCCTAACCCACTAAAGTCTTTAGTAGAGTTCAGAATCAGATCACAGAGTATGTCTCAAAATATTGTGATATGTGACATACTCCTCTATCCCAACACACCACACATACCTGCATGACACATGGTCTCTCTTCATAGACACACACATTTTATTTTAAACAAGTGGGTCAAACCAGGATGTCCGTTCAAAATAATGTGTTCTTTATTGACATAGCTAAAGAGGAGGGCTTGCAGCATGGTACAGGCTTGTATAAGGTTTGCATATTCCATGTTCCAACTAACAGCTGGAATGAGGTTCTGATGAGCCTTATCATTGTTAATGGCTGCCCTTGATTGCCTACCCATCACTTTATATTAAATATCCTAAAAAGATATTTTCCTAGATTGAGGCATTAACAGACTCGTGGAATCTAAGATGTTTACTATAAGCTTTTTAGGAAGTTAACAACGCTGTCCAATCCCCTTTTCCCAGCTGGAAATGAGAAACCACAATAATCATATAGGCTTATGATTCCATGGAATCCATCCTCAAGATGGTACCAGGTCACTCGAACACCGTTGTCCTCCAACCTCTTCTTGTAAAGCAAGCCGTCGTCTCTTAGCACATCATACTCGCAAGTCAAGATGAAAGATTCGGGCAGCTGGTGAACAATAGCATCTTCGGCTAACAGTGGACACAGGTTGGGCTCGCAGAATCTTTTCACTGTCTCATAAACTTCAGCTATAAAATCAGTGGGCCTAAGTGGCTTCACACCTCTGACCTTAAATTTTTCAGGGATGTTGTCTGGACTCACCCACTTCCTATATTTCAGCCTCATATCTGGAGGAATATGAGAACCCTCCAAGACCTCTTGCATATGCAATGCATCCCCATTTAGGTACTGCAAAGCAAAGAAAGCAGCACGTTCTCGAAATAAGAGAGGGACTCCTCGATTTTGATGATAAGATGGTAAATTGAAGTCCAGTGCCTGAAGGCCTGGGTAGATCAAGATCTGAGCACGAAGTTTGGGGAGGTCTGAGCTCCCTGCAAGGGTCTGGCTAACAGCAGCTGCTAGGTTGCCCCCAGCACTGTCCCCACAGACAATTACATTGGCAGAATCCACCCCATAGTGCTCTATATTCTTCATGAAGTGTATGGTGGCATTAAGACAGTCTTCATACGCGGCAGGGTATTTGTGTTCAGGAGCTAAACGATACCTAGTAATGTGGAAAGAGACAACAAAAGTAAGAGAAGGAAAGGTCATTACTATTAATCAGGAAATGGCATTCTGTGCTGTCTTCCAGCCCTATCATTTTGGGGTGCTTTTCCTCCAGGTCAGGATATTCATTACCTCCTAAGCCGGCACTCCGCAGTTAGTGATTGCAGATAAGCCATAAATTGCGTATTCAGTCACAAGGACTCAGTAAGGTAGAATTGTCATCTGACTAAGAGTCTGACCAAGACTTTGTACATTTCTTAGTCATGATGAAAACTCCCTGTGTACTCCTGACAAGATTATTTAATAATTTTCTGCTTCTGCTTCCTGTGTGTAAAAATGGAGTAATACAGTGTGATTATTTCTATAAATCACAGTTGTTTGGAGCATCTTATTACATGTTCATATCTTCAGCAAAAGGAAGACTTTTTTAACCTAAGTTTTTGGCTTTTATAGATTTTCTTAGTGTGCCAAATATTTCCATTTGGGTCTTTTCTGAGTACTTCAGGGCATGAACAGTTAAGACCTGTGAAATCTCCATTATCACTATTTGTCTCTTTATGGACTTCACTGAACTCTATAGAAATTTCTCTGCACAAAAGAACATCTCCAAAACCAGTGCAGCTCTGCTGTAGCATCACAGCAACAATAATCTCCAAACAATAGAACTGGGTTCACTTACTGTACAGATACAACTACCGATTCACTTTCTCTGGATATGTAGCGGCATACTTTTTCATAGGTATCTGGAAAAGAAATATTTTCATTAGTGTTTTGCTATTGCCCTAATCTTTGAGACAGCTAGGGGATGTTCATTCCAGAAAGGCACATATTTGTTTTCAGACTTCCTCCCAAAGCACATACTGAAACCTCCTCTTATTTCAGTTTTATAAAAAGATGAGAATATTCTTTATACATTACTGTAATTCCTCCAGCAAATATCTTACCAAGACTTCCAAATACCCAGCCTCCTCCGTGAAAGAAGATGATACCTCTCCTTCGCTCATCAGAGGTAGCTTTAGGCTGATAAACCCTCACAGGTACTTTGTTAAACTGCAGATCCTGGATAAAGAGCTTTGGATCCACCCCTAGTTTCCGTCCTTGTCGCACGTATCGGCCAAAAGTGATTTGACTGCAAAGTCCAGTCTTCTCCAAAATCCTTCCCTGTTAAAGGTAAAAGAAAGCAAGGCTTCTTTAAAGGCTTCTTGAGTTAGCCAAGGTATAAAAACTGCACTGTAATTCCACTGAACTGTATTTGAGGGAAATTTTAAAGAAACACATATCTTAGGAAAAAAAAAAAAAAAGTGGTGATGTTGTAAAATATTAATACACTATATATATATATATATATATATATATATATAAAAAATAGTAACAGCACAAGAAGTTAGAGTAACTACTGAGAGGACTGCTCACAGAGGAGGATAGTGGCTATGACAGCATGTCCCAAACGCTCTCTAAATGGCTTCCTGGACACTAAGTGCTGATAGGAGAGTTCATTCTAATAGGTTGTAAACAATTAGACTAAAGTCCTTGTGTTTTGCCTTAATACATCCATGAAAAACAACAGTGAGGAAAAGTAACTCCACTGTTGGTTTTCTTGATAGGAATGCCCAGTCCTAAAAAAGTGAGTGATCCCAGGACAGAGTCAGAAAACAGTATTTGATTTAAGTTTGCCTAGATTAGTTTTATCAAAAAGAAGAAGTTCTACCTTTTATCATACCGGCTGGAATCTGAAGAATCAGACTGAAAAAGCAAGGCTTCACATACAGCAATTTGACCCCTCTTAGCCGATAAAAATAAATCTCTCTGGTTCGAGAAAAACAATTTTCCCAAGCTCTCACATCCTACAGACTGTAAAAAATATACCTCCATTACTCAAATCCAGTGCCATTCTAATATCACATCAGCAATTTTATATAGGCCATCCAAAATGGCTGTCATGTAATATACATTTTAATTGCCAGTATTGTCCTGCACACCTTTGTGCTCATTCTTGTTGCATTTATACTTGATAATAACAATTAAATGTCATTTATAGAAGCAGCAATAAAAGCTTTAATAATTCTTCACTGCATAAACTAATTAAACCATAAAAGTCAGTGAATTTGGAAATCTTAAGTGCTGAGTTGTGCTGTGCAACTTAGTTACTGCTTTTTATTTGCACAACAGATTTACAAAACAAAATAAAGCAGCTTCCTTTCCCAATGCTCCTGCAATTATCTTGCAAGCTAGAATATAAATCTGATGTAATAAGTGAACAATCAAGAAGCTGGGAACAAAATTAATTAATGGAATCAAACAAATATACTGTTACAGTTCGTCTACGAAACAAGATGCCAGTTTTAAATGCCCAATGAGACCCTGTATTAATGCGTTCCCTTGTCACCTGCTAGTGGGGTTCAGGAGCTGTGTGGCTTTGTCAGCAGATTTCAAGAGGATGTAAATGGTATAAGAAACATTGTGGAGGAAAACAAGGTTTAGGTGATAGCGAAGGCGATGTTGTGGCTACTGAAGATTACAAAAAAAACAAAACAAACAAAACAAAACAAACAAAAAAAAAAAAAAAAACATTAAAAGATACCAGAAGTAATAGAGGAAGAGTTCAGGAGAGCTCTAATGCCGTTTATGCAATTTTGTAAAAGGGAGTCCAGGGATTAAGTAAAGCAGCCCTAACCGGATTTTGTGCCATGAATGTCAGCCGTGGCAGGAGCAGCTGAAGGGCTGTGGTTTTCTTTGTGCAAGGTGACTTCGCCTAAAGCTGAGGGCAGTTATCAAACAAAACACCAGCTCACCTCCGAATTCGAGCCCCAAACCACCACGGCCGTTTGGCCGCCGCCGCTAACACGCCCTGGGCACGCTGCTTCGCGACGTGAAACGGGTTTTGCCCGTGACACGAGCAGCGCCCAGCCTGGGGGTGCTCCCCCTCAGCGCTCTCCCATGATGGGGAGCCGCAAGCATCCTCCCTCCCAGGAGGGCGGCGGGGGCACGCGGATCTTAAGCCAGGCTCCTTTTTTCCTTTGGCTTCCTAGCGCGGCCCGTGGGCCGGGGTCGCGCCACCCCACCCCACCCCACCCCCCGCCGTGTTTCGCGGGGCGGCTGCCCACCCTCGCCGCGGGGGACCCCGGCCCGGGGGACGGAGCTGTAACCGCGCCCCCCCGCCATCCCCACCGCGCCCCGGCTGCGCTGGAAACACACACCCCCCACGCACCCCCACCCCCGAAACGCCCAGCGGGGCGGAGGGCGCGACTCACCAGGGCCGCCGTGCCGAGGAGGACAGCCAGCACCAGGCGCAGCTTGACGGGCTGGTTCACCCCGGGCGGGATGTCGTAGCTGGGCAGGCCGAGGAGAACCGTGGCCAGCGCCAGCGCCAGCGCCGCCAGAGCCAGGAGCAGCAGCAGCAGCGCGGGCAGCAGCGCCATGGCCCGGCGGCGGCCCCGCGGGGGCTGCCCGGCCCGCGGCGGGGCCCGGCACAGCGGCCGCCCGCCCCCCCCGCCCCGCTCCGCCACCGCGGCCCGGGCCGCCGGCGTCACGGGCCGTTTGTGACAGCTCTGCAAAGCCGGCGGCGGGGTCATGGTGCGGGCGGCCGGCGAGAGCCCGGGGGGGAGGCCGCGCCGCCGGCTTGAGGCGCGTTGTAATCTCGGTTCAAGGAGGCAACGCGTGACCTGCGCGGGCAGCGGCCAGGAAGGAGCGGGGGGACCCGGGGACGGGCTGGGGGGCCGGCACCGCCGGGCTGGGGGGCAGACAGCGCCGGGCTGGGGGGCAGGCACCGCCGGGCTGGGGGGCCGGCACCGCCGGGCTGGGGGGCAGGCACCGCCGGGCTGGGGGGCAGAGAGCGCCCGGCTCTGGGGCAGGCACCGCCGGGCTGGGGGGCAGGCACCGCCGGGCTGGGGGGCAGGCACCGCCGGGCTGGGGGGCCGGCACCGCCGGGCTGGGGGGCAGACAGCGCCGGGCTGGGGGGCAGACAGCGCCGGGCTGGGGGGCCGGCACCGCCGGGCTGGGGGGCAGAGAGTGCCCGGCTCTGGGGCAGGCACCGCCGGGCTGGGGGGCAGAGAGCGCCCGGCTCTGGGGCAGGCACCATCGGGTATTTCAGAAGAGGCGGGAAGCCTGCGGCGCCAGCGGGTTGCAGGGCACCCCGCGTTCCTGGCGAATTCATCTTCAGATCAGCAGGAGCGTGTCACTTGTCCTTAAATTCAGGGACTCTCTGTCTAACGGCAGCCTGCAGGAAGCTGAACAAAGGGCTGCCTTCACACTGTGAAATCTAAATGGAAGACAGCATCTGTTCTTGTAAAAATCTCCAATTTCCTCAGTCTTAGAATTTTCATTTCCTCAGTCTTACTCTTTTGAGTATGCTCACTACTGTAGTTCCTTGCTTTCGTCAGCATAGTGAAGTGTCATGTCAAGGAATACTCTGCCTTGTCCTGTAAAGAAAACTCAAAACATGGAGAAACATCACAGCATAAATTCTAAAATACTACTACTGGGGAACCACTCTCTGAAAGAACACGAATACATTTCATTAGTATTTTCCCTCTCTTTAAGCAAAACGTTCCAGTATACACAGATCAAGAGCCCAGCTCACTGATCCTTACTGTCTTCCCAAAACCTGACATAAGCGTTCCATCTCAACCAGTATCTCTCACCCTGAGCCTCAGTGGGCACAATGGAGACATCCCAAAATTAAATAGGAGTTTGTAGAGCTCCCATTATTTCAAAATCAGGGCAGCCCTTACTTGCCTCCAGCAAGGTGTCCCCAGTTAGCTCAGGCCTCGTATTGCTGCTCTTGCAGATGTGGCTCTCCCATGCCCACTGAATAGATGTTGAACCTCCCCACTGGCACCTCGATTTCTGCCCATTTTTCCAGAGCTTTCCTCTAACTCTTCTCTCCAGCTCACTATGTACCTAACTTGTACTTTTTAACTAGACAGAATAAAGTTGTGCTTTGGAGCTCATCAAATGGACATCACAAAGATCCTGACTGTAATTCACAAGAGTTCTTTAATCCAAATCATTCCACAGGCATTAATTACATAGAGGTAAATCATCTGGTAATTACATACAAGGAATCAATCAGATGCTAATATGAAAGGGACTGAAACACAGCATTTGGAACATATTAAAACTGTAAAGACTGAACTATCAGTAGTCTCAGGAGGACAAAGACCAATTTTCAGATAGTAGTTGAAGTTGATGAATATCACAATTGGTATTTTACAAATCAAAGTGTATCACATTTTTTTGACAAGTACAACCTGAGGTTTGAGAGCCTAAGCGGAAACATCAGTGGGAGAAGCATAAAGATAAAAGGTTGTTTCTACAGGCCTTTAATGAATTTAACAATTCTGTCCAGTCCCCTCTCCCCAGCTGGAAATGAGAAACGTGAATAATCATATAGGCTTATGATTCCATGGAATCCATCCTCAAGGTGGTACCAGGTCACTCGAACACCATTGTCCTCCAACCTCTTCTTGTAAAGCAAGCCGTCGTCTCTTAGCACATCATACTCGCAAGTCAAGATGAAAGATTCGGGCAGCTGCTGAACAATAGCATCTTCGGCTAACAGTGGACACAGGTTGGGCTCGCAGAGCCTTTTAACTTTGTCAAAAACTTCAGCCTTGAATTCATGGGGCTTGTGTGGTTTGTAGCCTCTGACCTTAAATTTTTCAGGGATGTTATCTGGACTCACCCACTCCCTGTATTTCAGCCTTATATCTGGAGGAATATGAGAACCCTCCAAGACCTCTTGCATATGCAATGCATCCCCATTTAGGTACTGCAAAGCAAAGAAAGCGGCATGTTCTCGAAATAAGAAAGGGACTCCCTGATTCTGCTGATAGGATGGTAAATTGAAGTCCAGTGCCTGAAGGCCTGGGTAGATCAAGATCTGAGCACGAAGTTTGGGGAGGTCTGAGCTCCCTGCAAGGGTCTGGCTAACAGCAGCTGCTAGGTTGCCCCCAGCACTGTCCCCACAGACAATTATACGGTCAGGATCCACCCCATAGTGCTCTATATTCTTCATGAAGTGTATGGTGGCATTAAGACAGTCTTCATACGCGGCAGGGTATTTGTGTTCAGGGGCTAAACGATACCTAGTAATGTGAAAAGAGGCAACAAAAGTAAGAGAAGGAAATATCATAACAGTAAATAGAAATTTCCTACAGCACCTTGACTTTCCCTGTGTTGTTTGGAGTATTTTTCCTTCAGCAAAAATACCCAGTGTCATTATCTGCTAAACAGGTATCTGTCCAGCCGGTTATTATAGACAGCCAGTAGGATGAAAGTTGTGAAGATGTAGCATAGTTGGGATCTGCTGAGAACAGCACTGATCAGAACTTAAGTGATACAAGTTCATTTTACTCTTCTGGTGTATCTGCATCTGGCTTGTGGATGAAGTAATTAAATCAGTCTGCACCTTGCCTTTACTTGGGATATTTCCTCTTGAGAATTATTTTATTTATTTAAATAACTGCTACAGAGTTATGGTTTTTGTACTATCAATATTAAAATATATTAGCATTTGTTTCTGTTAAAAACCTCCTTAACATTTACAGTGATTACATGTAATTACACAGATCACTGATCAAACAGATTAAACAGATCACCTTCCAAGTTTGTTTATTAGTCAGTTCTCAACACGTTATAAAACTTTTCTGGAAAGCACTCCTTTTTGTGTGGTCCCATCATAGCTCTGTGTTGGGAGATACATGAACCATACTTTGGGGTCTGTGTGCACTCTTCCTGCATTAGCAGACTGGGGAGGTGGGAGGAATGAAAATAGTGTCCTTGAAATTCTGCCTGACCATCTGGGATCCTGGGGAAATGGTTTACTGAGGAGGAGTGTTCCCACAAGATGTGCATCACTGTGGTGCTAAGAAGTGAAAAAGAGCAAAGACTTGCATAGGGTGGTACTTGACAAAACTCACCCAACAGACACAACCACCGACTCGCTCTCTCTGGCAATGTAACGGCAGATCTTTTCATGTGAATCTGCAAAAAGTTGGGGGTGCTGTTAGCTAGCTGCCCGCTCCGTTTCCCGATGCAATAGCCAAGGAAGGTGGAGGCCGCCTTTTCCCGCCCTGGCCGTGCGCTCCCCTCGTCCCTCTCCCCCTCAGCCCCTCCGCCTCCCCTCACGGCAGAGGTGCCGCGGCAGCGCTTAAACTGGCCGAAGATGCCGGGAAAGCTCAGCTTTTCAGACCTTCCGGCAGGTCTCGGGGCAGAATTATTCCCCCCGCCCCCGGGAGATAACAGCGCACAGCGGCGAAGCGGGGGGGGAAACGACCCGGCTCGCCTTACCGATGCTGCAGTACAGCCACCCGCCGCCGTGGAAGAAGATGGCGCCCGCCCGCAGACCGGCGGAGGGGGCGCGGGGCCGGTAGACCCTCACCAGCACCCCGCCGAACCGCGCGTCCTGCAGGCAGAGCTGCGGGTCCGGCCCCAGCTTCCTCCCGGACTGACAGTAGCGGCTGAAGGCGATCTGGCTGCACACCCCCGCCTTTTCCAAAATCTTTCCCTGTTGGAAGAGAGGGAGGAGGGTCCGGCTGAGCGGAGGGCGGCCTCCCCCGGGGGCAGCCAGCAGCTGCGCTGCCCTGGGTCCCCGGCTGCTGCGAGGCCTGAGGGGACCCTCAGGCTTCGTGTTGGCGGGGCTTAGCCTGCTCCAGAGCCGCTCGCCTCTACCCTCGCCTCCCGCGGCTGCTCCGGTTTGGTCCTCACCAGAACGCTGGCGCAGGAGAAGATGGAGCCGTGGCAGCCCCCCGTGAGGCTGCGCGCCTGGGCGAGCAGGGCTGCTCTGGCACCGTGCACCTGAGCAGGTAGGCCCATGCGTCCGGCTCACGCTCTGCCAGGCAAGGTGTCTCAGGGGAGAAAAAAGTTTCCCTCTCGGCGTCACCAAGCCCTACGGTTTCATACCAGCTTCCCACCACTTACAGCCTTACAACCCGTATGTCATTTCTCTAAGGTTTCTCCTGAGTCTCTGGTTTTCTCTGCTAAGAAGCACCTAGCCTTCCATCATTGTTACTGGGAAGCCCCAAGAATGGCCTAAAAACATCATCTGTGCTTAGCTAAAATGGAAGTCAAAGCAATCTCACTTTTTATAAATGCTTAATTTAAGCTTAATCAGGGAAACTCATCTGATAAGACTTGGACTCTTATGGTTGGGTTCATCCCTATGTAATAGGGAAAATCTGACTGAACTAGCTGAGATCTAACAGACCTCTAGTTGTCCTTCAAAGGCAGCCTCCCCAAAAATTAAAGCCCTCATTTAAGTCTTAATGGAGCCAGCGAGATTCTGGTATTTACACATACAACCTTACAAAAAATAACACCTAAACCACATTTCTGGCAGAAATCATGGCAGAGTAACTCACCAGAGCAGATATGGTAATCATAGAAGCAAGGACAATTCGAAGCTTTCCAGGATGATTCACTCCAGGAGGGATATTTAAATTGGCATAGTCGGATTGAATTGTTTCAATAATTGCTAGTATGAACGAAGCAATAAAAATCACCAGCAATATCACTGGCACTATATAAAAAAACTCCATTTCACTTAATCAAAGCTGAGATGTCTTTATGCCTATCTTCGATTTATCTTTCGCAGATAACAGTAAACCTTAGAGCAGTCCAAGTTACAACAGATCTCTCGGGTGCCACACACTTTAAAGTCCTTGGAAATGTTGTGCAAGGTGCCAGTGTGCATCACGTTGGAGAAAAGGCTGAGGAGAATGTGTTTAATTTCCTGTTTAGCTTCATGTTAATTGTGGGACTGATACAGGGCCTGGTATTCTGCATGGCATTGTTGGATTGCGGATGATACAAAAGACTGTTGAGAGAGATAGCAGTTAAGTACTGAATAAAGTTCTAGTTTATGACAGGTTCCTATTTACAAGGAGAGCCAACTAATGTGGAGGTTAAACTGTCTTGCATCTGATCAGAGCCACATGCTGCTTCCTGTATTGTGGACATTCTGTAAGTAGTTTGGAATATATGGTTTTAACAAGGATGTTTAGAAAAGAATATGGGAACTAACATAAGGGGGAATAAAAAAACTAACGTGCTCCACAAAAGTAAATACATTGATCTTATTTTGTTGTTAGAGTATTTAAGCACAGGAAGAAGTTTTTCAGCATACTTACATATTTGATAAACATAGGAAAACATTTAGACCATTTACTCCATTATATTTTACACAAAACTGTTAGTAGAGTATCTCTATTGAGGACAGCTGCAGTTTTGACTTCATTTTTTCAAGTCCAAAATACCAGTTACCTAGCCCCTAGAAATGTTCTGCAAGTCAGTGACTGGGAATCTTAGACTCAGATGCTACGTGTAACATATAGCACAGGCACTGCATTATAGCACTGTAATATCAGTATCTTTCTCCTTTACCAAAACACACTTTGTCTTCTAGAAAGAGTGAAACCATAGCTCATAATTGAGTAAAGTGGATTAGACCAGATGTTGATTTAAAATTTTACTGCACCTTTAGTATTTACTGAGAGAGTAGCAATTGCCTAGTCCAGATAGATCATTCAAATAGGCAGACTGCACATGGAATACTTCAAATAGCACTAAAAGAAACTTTCATAGCATTTTTGAAATATCTTTTTCAGTGGTCACACTGGCATAATTGCTCATTAACAAATTCTCTTATCTAAACCTCTTATGTGGAATTTAGAAGAATAAAAGACCACAAAAGATTGGCAATTCTTACATAAGGAAAGAAAATTGTTTCTATAAGCTTTTTAGAAAGTTCACAATCTTGTCAAGACCTCTCTTTCCAGATGAAAATGACAACCAGTCACTATTAAACGAATTTATGATTCCATGGAATCCATCCTCAAGGTGGTACCAGGTCACTTGAACACCATTGTCTTCCAGTCTCTTCTTGTAAAGCAAGCCGTCATCCCTCAACACATCATACTCGCAAGTCAAAATGAAAGACTCAGGCAGCTGCTGAACAATAGCATCTTCGGCTAACAGTGGACACAGGTTGGGCTCGCAGAATCTTTGCACTGTCTCATAAACTTCAGTTGTACAGTCAAGTAGCACATACGGTTTGTAGCCTCTGACCTTAAATTTTTCAGGGATGTTGTCTGGACTCACCCATTTACTATAATCTAATTTAATATCTATAGGAATATGGGTACCCTCCAAGACCTCATCCAGATTTGAGGCATTCCCATTTAGGTATTGTAACACATAGAAAGCAGCACGTTCTCGGAATAAGGGAGGGACTCCCCGATTCTGCTGATAGGATGGTAAATTGAAGTCCAGTGCCTGAAGGCCTGGGTAGATCAAGATCTGAGCACGCAGTTTGGGGAGGTCTGAGCTCCCTGCAAGGGTCTGGCTAACAGCAGCTGCTAGGTTGCCCCCAGCACTGTCCCCACAGACAATTATACGGTCAGGATCCACCCCATAGTGCTCTGTATTCTTCATGAAGTGTATGGTGGCATTAAGACAGTCTTCATACGCGGCAGGGTATTTGTGTTCAGGGGCTAAACGATACCTAGTAATGTGGAAGGAGGCAACAAAAGTAAGAGAAGGAGATATTAGTTTCAGATGTATTCCTGAAATAGTGGTTCCTGCAACCAGCAATACCCACGCTACCTCAGAATTTTCCTTTTCTCCACAGGTTAATCATAAACAATCTATGGCTAGTTGGACCAGGTGGTGCAGATTAATTTATTAGGAAATCATCTGTTTGGGATGTTTCTCAGGTCTTTAACAACACAGGAGTACACAGCTGCCAACTGTGTCTAGGTTTTATTGACAGGCATTTAGTTGCTTTATGCCTTAGCTTTCCATGGGTCAGATACAAATGATAATAATTCTGGTTTATGTCTTTGTTACAGTGCAGTTATTTCATCAGAATCCAAATAGCTTGGTCAGTATATTCATAATGATAGTAGCTTGTCATTCATGTAGTGCTTCTGTAGGTACAAGCAGAGTTTCCTTGAATAAGGATTAAGTAGAATATATGGCTTACTATCTGTTTACTATCAATTTTGAGTTTGGAATTTGAAAACATTGATTCCAGCTAGATATCCTAAAGCACTATTTGTGCTGTAGTCAGACAGTGAAAAATTAGCCTGAGTTGGTCTTTAGTGGCTCCAAACAAGAGCAGAATTTGTAAATCATGTGCTAGACAAGTCCCACAGAAACATTTCTCTGAGAATGGTTGTTGCTATGATCAGGAAAGCTATAAGGTGGTATTTATACTACAGGAAATAATCTCTAAAAAATAGCATGAGGAAAGACTCACCCAACAGATACAACTACTGATTCACTTTCTCTGGCAATAGAGCGGCATAGCTTTTCGTGGGTCTCTGAAAGAAACATATTTGATGGAGTTTGTGCTTGTTTTGTTTTGTTTTGTTTTGTTTTTTTGCCAGAGTGCTAATGTTGTCTGTTGCATAAATCAAAAAATTGCTATAAGAAAATACTCTCTACTTTTCTCTGCCCCTTCCTACATAGCTCCTCAGATCTTTCGTACCCGCTCATCTTCCTATTTCAGTATTTGCTTATTGTATTTTTTCATTTCATATCTCATTGTCTTTGTCTTTAAGAAAAATCACTTAATGCACAACAGATGCTTTCTTCTGACAGCAAGACTTAGGAGAGTGCATCTGTGGTTATACTTGAACTTCATAACTGCTACAGATCAAGTGACAATCAACTTTACCACTTATAAAATAGATACTTTTTAAACTAAATTATAATATTTTTTTCTGTTAGATATCTTACCCAGACTTCCAAATACCCATCCTCCTCCATGGAAAAACATAACTCCTCTCCTTTGGCTGGCAGATGGACCCTTAGGCTGATAAATCCTTACAGGCACTCTCTCAAACCACAGGTCCTTGATGAAGAGCTTCATGTCCACTCCTAGAGTCTTTCTACCTTGAATGTACCGGACAAAGCTAACCTGACTGCAGATGCCAATATTTTCCAAAATCTTGCCCTGTTCAAAGGCAAAAAGAATAGGGAGTTTACTCAAGGGATTCTGTATTTTCCAAAATCTTGCCCTGTTCAAAGGCAAAAAGAATAGGGAGTTTACTCAAGAGATTCTGTATTTTCCAAAGTAAAGGAACTGTGTGGGCAGTATACTCATGATGTCTAAGTCATATATTTTAGGGCAGTCATAAAATATTTGAGTAGGTAGTACAACTGAACAAATAACAGCAGCATCATGAGGGGTCACAAGAACAGCAGTGTTCACTGAAGAACATCATCCCAAAACAATGCAGCATTAACAAAGACTGCTTTCTCAGCAGGTCCTTTACCTAACGGTGAAAATGAGCTTAGTTTTCACTGGTTATTCTGTCCTTGCCACTGAGAAGATGTGAAAACATAGCAAAAGATGATAGTTCTGGTGTTGATTTTTATGATATGGACACTTGCCCAAAGCGGAGTTGACTAAGTTGAGAGTGTATTTGATAATTGCTTTTTGATTCCTCTTGGAAATCTTCACTGACCTTCCGTCATCACATCATCTATCATTACATGGAAATGCTCCTGAATCAGTGAGATCCTTTGTCAGCAGAGATCACCAGAAGTTGAGTGTCGGTAAGAGCTTCAACTCTTGTGGACTGGTTAGCTTCCCACTCTTCAGTTCACCTGAAGAAACTGGGCTGGCCAGATCCCCTCATTCCCATCAGACAAGTCTGCTTAGTTACTGGAGGAGTTACAAATATGTGTTCAGGGGAGGTGGAATTCCTTCAGCTCCTTTTGTGCAATGTTACCTAATTTTGTCACTTGTGTGACAAAAACTCCCCCTTTCCAAAACCAATTCTGAAATACTCAGTTTCTGATTTTATGTT